AAGATTCCTTTAGCTTGAGTTCGATGCTTGCTATTTCTCTGACCAGTGTCTCCCTACGCATTTCAGATATATTGACCTCTTTTAGCCGCTCTTTTATGGGCAGGCTTAAAATTAACTTAAGATTAACTAAGCAATGATGTATTCAGTGGTACAAAAATTATTGTAAAACAGATAACAATTTAGTACAAATGAGTATTAAAAGACAGGTCATATGGTCATTTACTATGTTGCTGTGTAATCAGTAGTATGGAGTATTCTGTTAGGTAATGAAGTTAAATAGTAACAAAGTTTGATTGGGTAACAGGTTGACATTTATGAGATACAATAATGAGATACATATATGAGATACAATTTATGAGATACAATTCAGTATTTATTTAGTTGTGGGTGAGTAAGTGATTTTTGAGAAGAGACTTGAATTCATAAACAGACAGTGTTTCTTTTGTATTCACAGGTAATGAATTCCAGATTCCAGGGTCTTTTATGTGCATTGAGTTTTTGCAAAGCGTGCGATGGACACAAGGAACATCAAAGAGTGATCTGTGTCTTGTGTTATGGTCATATGTTCTGTTGAGGTTGGTAAGGAGATGTTTGAGGGGAGGGTTTATGTCAGAGTTAAGTGTTCTATGTATGTAGTAGGTGCAGTAATAAGTATGGATGTTTTGTATTGTGAGTAGGTTTAGAGTTTTGAATATTGGTGGAGTGTGCTGTCTGTAGTGGGAATTTGTTATCATTCTGACTGCAGCCTTTTGTTGGGTAATTATGGTCTGAGATGGTTTATTGTTTTGTGCCCCATGCACAAATTCCATAGGTGAGATAGGGTAAATAAGTGAGTGATATAGGGCCAGGAGGGCTGACTGTGGAACATAGTACCGTATCTTCGATAGTATGCCTACGGTCTTGGAATTTTTTTTGGAAATTTGTTGTATATGTGTTTGAAATTTGAGTCTGTTATCAAGGTGGATTCCTAGGAATTTTCCCTCTGTGAGTTTTGTGATAGGTGATCCATTTATCATTATGTTAAGAGACACATCTGCAGCTCTGTTACCAAACTGAATGTAGTAGGTTTTGTCAATGTTTAGAGTAAGTTTGTTTGTCCTCATCCAGGTTGATATTTTCTGTAATTCGGTATTTACAGTATTGGCTAGCATGACTGGGCTCGGGTGAGAGTAGACGTATGTAGTGTCATCTGCAAATAGTGTGGGTTTGAGTAGTTGCGATGCATTTGGTAGGTCATTTATGTATATGAGAAAGAGAAGAGGGCCTAGGACACTTCCCTGTGGGACACCAACTGTAATTGGCTGTGCTGAAGAATTTGCCCCATTTGTGTACACATAATGGCTTCTGTTGCTGAGGTATGACTTTAGGTAGTTGAGGGAGTGCCCTCTTATACCATAGTGCGACAATTTTATGTGGAACAAGTCGTGGTCAACTGTATCGAAAGCTTTACGTAAGTCAATGAAGATCCCCAGTGGGACTTCTTTTTTCTCTATTGCTGTATAAATATGTTCTAGCATGTGGATAATAGCATCATTAGTATTTTTATTAGGTCTGAACCCAAATTGACAGGGGTTGAGTATGTTGTGGGAGATGAGGTAGGAATAGATACGCTTATGGATTAATTTTTCAAAGATTTTAGAGAGAGGGTGTAAGTTGGATATTGGCCTATAGTCATTCAAGTCTGCGTGGTCTCCTCCTTTATGGATCGGGGTGACCCTTGCTATTTTGAGAACTGAAGGAAAGGTAGAGGATTCAATGGATTTGTTAGAGTGTTGCAATGATTGGTGATAGCACCTGTGACACTTTTTTGTATATAATGGGTGGTAAGGTATTTAAATCTCCTGTCTTGTTTTTTAGTTTGTTGATAATAAGGGAGACTTCAGTTGGGTTAGTCGGAGCTAGGAACAGTGTGTTGGGGTAGTTGCCAGTGAGGTAGTCATTGGGTGGGGTATCTGAGCTTGGGATTTTATTGGCAAGGTTTTTTTCCTATAGTGGAGAAGAAATCATTGAGTCTGCTGTTTCAGTAGGTGGGAATTGGGGTTCATCTGGTTTTGTTAACTCAATTTCGCTGTTTCGTGTTATCTTTTTTGTTCCTAGTATTTCTGATAGGGTTTTCCAGGTCTTTTTTATGTCACCTCGTAAGTTGGATAATCTGTTCTCATAATACAATTTTTTAGCCCTTCTTAATAGGCTGGTTAGGATTGACGAGTAACGTTTTGTTTGGTTTCTGGTTATGTGGCCCATTCTGTACTGCTTTTCGTATAGGTGCTTTGTATTTATGGATTTGAGGCTACTGGGTGTTAGCCAGGGACTGTTCAGTCTCTTTGCAGTCATCTGTTTAGTTTTTTTTAGGGCAGTGCTTGTTATAGAGGTATTGGGTCTTTTTTTAGAAAATTATTAATACATTCGTCAATATCTGTATAGATTTCTAGCTGTGTGCCAGTCAGTGTTTGTCACTGCTGCTGTGAAGTTATTGATAGCTGCCTCACTGTGAAGTCTGAAAGTGACTTTAGTAGTGTCTAGGGGTAATTTGCCAAGGTTTGTTATGAGGAAGGTTGGGTAATGGTCTGTGGTATTATCTGTGATTATGCCTGATCTTAAGGGGGATATGGTGTTGGTCCAGATGTGGTCTAGTAGGGAAACACTAGTCTCTGAAACTCTTGTAGGTTTTGTTACTGCTGGTAGCAACATGCAGTTACTCATAGTGTTTGTGAATTCAGTAACACGTGGGTCTTGGTCTTGTAGGAGATTTATATTGAAGTCACCTGAGAGTAGTAAGTGATCTTTGTTCATGCGTGCATCAGTTCAATTCAATTCAATTCAAAGTTTATTCTCTATAAAGATTACAATGTTGAATTTACAGAATTTGGTTATTGTGTGGTTTACATGTAGTTAAATAATGATTACAGAGCGTACCACTAGAACGCCTAGCATGGCTAGGCATTTCGGGCAGACTTAGTTTAATTCTTATTTTAAAATATTACAAATTATACTTTCTAGGTTTTCACTAAAACGGCTAATGTTTGACTGTGGTACTTTGTAGATGTTTATCACTGTGAGAGGTTTTTGTAGGTATTTGGATTTGAATTTAGCTATTATGTATTCCCCATGTTCATCCCTTGTGCAAGTATTAGTGATACATTCTAGTTGGTCTGAGTAGTACATAGCTGTGCCACCCCCTTGTTGATCTGGCCTACAGTTGTGTATGGCTGTGTAACCAGGAATGGCATAGACATCAAAGTTTATTCTCTATAAGGATTACAATGCTGAGTTTACAGAATTTGGTTATTGTGTGGTTTACATGTAGTAAAATAATGATTACAGAGTGTACCACTAGAACACCTAGCATGGCTAGGCATTTCGGGCAGACTTAAATTAAATCTTAAGTTTAAAATAATATTACAAAATTATGAGGTAAGTTGGTATTATGGCTAAGTGACTAAATACTAGTTTGTGAGTTTAGCAATGTGAATGCTTTTGTTTTGGCACTATACATAGTTTCAGTATTGGAGTATCACAGGCCAACTTATGACTAGTTAAGATTCATTATTTTGAGATTGAGATTGATATTTCTGTTTATGGTCAAATGGGTGAGTGAGTGTAAGTGTTAACCACCAGGTGGTATTCGTGTAATTAGTTGACAGGGTGTATCAGGGAGATAAGATGTTTTCTGATGGTAGTTTTGAAGGTGATGAATGTGTCTGCAGTTTTGGAATTTTCAGGTAGGGTGTTCCAGATTTTAGGGCCTTTGACATACATTGAATTTTTGTAAAGGTTTAGTCGGACACGGGGAATGTCATAGAGATGTTTGTGTCTGGTGTTGTGCCTGTAGGTTCTGTAGTATCAGGCTTTAGCCAGGTTTCGGTGAGAGTAATGATGGACATACTGGCATGCAGGGAATTTAGTAATGCTGTGAGGTCGTCGTAATGTTTGCTTAAAGATCTGATATTGTAGTTAAAGACAGTTATGTTGTTGTTGGCTCTGAGAAGTGCCTTTGATTGTTCTGCTGTGTAGTAATTACAGTAACTGTTTGATTCATTAAGTCATTAGATAAGAGGTTGGTATCAGGATCAATGCTTGTTATCATAAGATTTATAGTGAATCTATTGTTAGAATTAAGTATAAGACAAAGTAAATATTCTAAAGCTATAAAATAGCACCTGAATTATTTTAACAAATGTAAAAAATATGAGCTAAGGTAGCTCTTTACAGCTAAAATAAATGAGGCAATATAAAAGGGACTAAAATAATTTGTGGTGAACAAAAAAGTGGTAATCAAATAAATGAATATAATGGCAAAATAATGAGCTTATTACACTAGCACCTGAGAATAGCACCTTGATTATTTCAACAATTGTGAATATATGAACTAAGGTTGTTAAATAAAGCTAAAATAAAAGAGAAAAAATATAAGGGACTAAATTAAGTAATGGTAAACAAAGTTAAAATGACAGATAGTCACTATGATATAATATTGATTTGGGAGTAAGATCTGATTTGTTATATATAATAAGTGTTTTTTTGAGGAGGTCGGTCCCTCAACCTGGAGAAAAGTTCTGCTCAATAGTCTGGAACATTATTTCAGACTAAGGAGCTGAAGCACATACTCAGGTGGTTACTTACCTGAGCATGTGCTTCAGCCTACGAGAGTGACTACTTACTATTAAGACTCAGGAAGTTATCCCTGTTATTATTTCGTTTTCTTTGAAGCATTCAGTTCCTTTCAATGACCATATATATAAACTCTTCATTGAAACACTTAATACTAATATTTTGTATTAAAATAAATTTTACTATATTTTAAAAGTGTATCACAAATCATTTATTTGATTAATGCTGATATTTATGTAATTTATATAAAATTTAAAAATCAATATTACCAGTTATACTTGAATTGGTATAATTATTATGTTAAAAGTATGCTCAGAATTTCATCTAATTTTATAACAATTGTATACCATACTCTCTGGCAATAAACAAAACAAAAATAATGGTAATTTTTGAAGATGTAGTGATATGTGGAGTATTGTAAACAAACATTCATCATGGCTTCCAGCAAAGGTTCCGGACCTCAAGTCATTGATCTCTCCAAACTTAATTTGGAGCAATTGACGACGTTAAAAAACCAGCTTGATCAGGTATGCTGTTAGTCGCTTCTCTCTGGGAGATGATCACTAGTTAGATGGTCAACATTAATAATGAAATACGAAGTTGAAGGCTAAGGCGTGACCAGTCGAGGCTGGAACACATGTGACATTATCTTCGTATGATTAAAGTTTGGTGGCATATATTGTGTGTCTGCCTGGTGTATATTGTGTGTCTGCCTGGTGTATATTGTGTGTCTGCCTGGTGTATATTGTGTGTCTGCCTGGTGTATATTGTGTGTCTGCCTGGTGTATATTGTGTGTCTGCCTGGTGTATATTGTGTGTCTGCCTGGTGTATATTGTGTCTGCCTGGTGTATATTGTGTGTCTGCCCGGTGTATATTGTGTGTCTGCCTGGTGTATATTGTGTGTCTGCCTGGTGTATATTGTGTGTCTGCCTGGTGTATATTGTGTGTCTGCCGGTGTATATTGTGTGTATGCCTGGTGTATATTGTGTGTCTGCCTGGTGTATATTGTGTGTCTGCCTGGTGTATATTGTGTGTCTGCCTGGTGTATATTGTGTGTCTGCCTGGTGTATATTGTGTGTCTGCCTGGTGTATATTGTGTGTCTGCCTGGTGTATATTGTGTGTCTGCCCGGTGTATATTGTGTGTCTGCCTGGTGTATATTGTGTGTCTGCCCTGGTGTATATTGTGTGTCTGCCTGGTGTATATTGTGTGTCTGCCTGGTGTATATTGTGTGTCTGCCTGGTGTATATTGTGTGTCTGCCGGTGTATATTGTGTGTCTGCCTGGTGTATATTGTGTGTCTGCCTGGTGTATATTGTGTGTCTGCCTGGTGTATATTGTGTGTCTGCCTGGTGTATATTGTGTGTCTGCCTGGTGTATATTGTGTGTCTGCCTGGTGTATATTGTGTGTCTGCCCGTGTATATTGTGTGTCTGCCTGGTGTATATTGTGTGTCTGCCCGGTGTATATTGTGTGTCTGCCTGGTGTATATTGTGTGTCTGCCTGGTGTATATTGTGTGTCTGCCTGGTGTATATTGTGTGTCTGCCTGGTGTATATTGTGTGTCTGCCTGGTGTATATTGTGTGTCTGCCTGGTTATATTGTGTGTCTGCCTGGTGTATATTGTGTGTCTGCCTGGTGTATATTGTGTGTCTGCCCGGTGTATATTGTGTGTCTGCCTGGGTATATTGTGTGTCTGCCTGGTGTATATTGTGTGTCTGCCTGGTGTATATTGTGTGTCTGCCCGGTGTATATTGTGTGTCTGCCTGGTGTATATTGTGTGTCTGCCTGGCATATATTGTGTGTCTGCCTGGTGTATATTGTGTGTCTGCCTGGTGTATATTGTGTGTCTGCCCGGTGTATATTGTGTGTCTGCCTGGTGTATATTGTGTGTCTGCCTGGTGTATATTGTGTGTCTGCCTGGTGTATATTGTGTGTCTGCCGGTGTATATTGTGTGTCTGCCGGTGTATAATTGTGTGTCTGCCTGGTGTATATTGTGGTCTGCCTGGTGTATATTGTGTGTCTGCCCGGTGTATATTGTGTGTCTGCCTGGTGTATATTGTGTGTCTGCCTGGTTATATTGTGTGTCTGTCTGGTGTATATTGTGTGTCTGCCTGGTGTATATTGTGTGTCTGTCCTGGTGTATATTGTGTTGTCTGCTCTGGTGTATATTGTGTGTCTGCCTGGTGTATATGTGTGTCTGCCTGGTGTATATTGTGTGTCTGTCCTGGTGTATATTGTGTGTCTGCCTGGTGTATATTGTGTGTCTGCCGGTGTATATTGTGTGTCTGCCTGGTGTATATTGTGTGTCTGCCTGGTGTATATTGTGTGTCTGCTGGTGTATATTGTGTGTCTGCCCGGTGTATATTGTGTGTCTGCCCGGTGTATATTGTGTCTGCCCTAGGTGTATATTGTGTGTCTGCCTGTGTATATTGTGTGTCTGCCTGGTGTATATTGTGTGTCTGCCTGGTGTATATTGTGTGTCTGCCTGGTGTATATTGTGTGTCTGCCTGGTGTATATTGTGTGTCTGCCTGGTGTATATTGTGTGTCTGCTGGTGTATATTGTGTGCTGCCGGTGTATATTGTGTGTCTGCTGGTGTATATTGTGTGTCTGCTGGTGTATATTGTGTGTCTGCTGGTGTATATTGTGTGTCTGTCCTGGTGTATATTGTGTGTCTGCCCGGTGTATATTGTGTGTCTGCCCGGTGTATATTGTGTGTCTGCCCGGTGTATATTGTGTGTCTGCCCTGGTGTATATTGTGTGTCTGCCTGGTGTATATTGTGTGTCTGCCCTGGTGTATATTGTGTGTCTGCCTGGTGTATATTGTGTGTCTGCCTGGTGTATATTGTGTGTCTGCCTGGTGTATATTGTGTGTCTGCCTGGTGTATATTGTGTGTCTGCCGGTGTATATTGTGTGTCTGCCCGGTGTATATTGTGTGTCTGCCCGGTGTATATTGTGTGTCTGCCCGGTGTATATTGTGTGTCTGCCCGGTGTATATTGTGTGTCTGCCCGGTGTATATTGTGTGTCTGCCCGGTGTATATTGTGTGTCTGCCCGGTGTATATTGTGTGTCTGCCCGGTGTATATTGTGTGTCTGCCCGGTGTATATTGTGTGTCTGCCCGGTGTATATTGTGTGTCTGCCCGGTGTATATTGTGTGTCTGCCCGGTGTATATTGTGTGTCTGCCCGGTGTATATTGTGTGTCTGCCCGGTGTATATTGTGTGTCTGCCCGGTGTATATTGTGTGTCTGCCCGGTGTATATTGTGTGTCTGCCCGGTGTATATTGTGTGTCTGCCCGGTGTATATTGTGTGTCTGCCTGGTGTATATTGTGTGTCTGCCCGGTGTATATTGTGTGGCTGCCTGGTGTATATTGTGTGTGTGCCTGGTGTATATTGTGTGTCTGCCTGGTGTATATTGTGTGTCTGCCTGGTGTATATTGTGTGTCTGCCCGGTGTATATTGTGTGGCTGCCAGGTGTATATTGTGTGGCTGCCAGGTGTATATTGTGTGTCTGCCTGGTGTATATTGTGTGGCTGTCCGGTATATATTGTGTGGCTGTCCAGTGTATATTGTGTCTGCCTGGTGTATATTGTGTGTCTTCCTGGTGTATATTGTGTGGCTGCCTGGTGTATATTGTGTGTCTTCCCGGTATATATTGTGTGGCTCCCCGGTGTATATTGTGTGGCTGCCAGGTGTATATTGTGTGGCTGCCAGGTGTATATTGTGTGGCTGCCCTGTGTATATTGTGTGGCTGCTCAGTGTATATTGTGTGGCTGCTCAGTATATATTGTGTGGTTGTCTGGTGTATATTGTGTGGCTGCTCGGTGTATATTGTGTGGCAGTCCGGTGTATATTGTGTGGCTGCCCAGTGTATATTGTGTGGCTGCTCGGTGTATATTGTGTGGCTGCCCGATATATATTGTGTGGCTGCTCGGTGTATATTGTGTGGCTACCCAGTGTATATTGTGTGGCTGCCCAGTGTATAGGACATATTACAAGGTTACTGCAAGAACTGACTGTGTTCAATTAATTAACCCATCATGTACGATGCTTCTTGTCATTCCTCATGCAGGATGTTGAAAGTGCAGTTTGACCCTCTCGGGTTTAGCTCTTATTTTTATTATATTCTTCATGTAAGATAGTTTTCCTCTCATACACCGTCAAGGGATACAAGTTTATTCAGGTAAAAATACACACACTTTGGATTATAATTGTCTTGTATAATAATTTACAAACTACCCAGGATAATCCAAAAATAGTCAGTGACTTATTGCCATCACGGTCCTTGAAAGGGAAGCACCTTGATGGCAGTGAAGGGCTCTTGATCCAAAGAATTTAAAGTTATCTTCTCCTCCTTGGATTAAATCTGATTGCCCCCTATTCCTTAGGCCTTATATTATCCCATTAGGTTTTGCACTTCCCTGTGAATGTAATAACTCTGTCATACATCACAGGGCATTCCTGTGAAGAGAAATCTTGATGTTGGTGAAAGACTGTTGATCCAAAGTTTTGGAGCTACCCCTCCCTTTCTTTGGCTCAAATTGATTACCCCTTTTCCCCCCTCCCTCTTGTTCCTTAAGCACTGTATAGCCCATACAGGTTTAGTGATTCTCATGAGTATGATTCATCTCGGTGTTTTTCCCTCTTATTTTACATGTGATATTACACAAGTCAGTACCTGATCGGCTGGGCTGTGGTTCGTACATCAGTTTGCGTGTGGCCAGCGGTAACATCCTGGTTGATCAGATCCTGATCCACCACGAGGCCTGGTCTCAGACTGAGCCGTGGGGGTGTTGACCCCCGAAGCCCTCTCCAGGTATACCTGTGATCTACTTGGAGAGTTTTCCTAGTCTCACAGCCCAGGCTGTGGCCAGGCCTCCCTGTTTATTACCTGCTGATGAAATCTTTAACCCTGAGCTGGGATTCATTAAATTTAATCATAGGAAAGTGCTAAACCTGTAGGGGTCATTTAGCTCCTTGGGGAACGGAAGGCATTTATTTGTATTCACTCCAAAGAGCTTAAGAGGGGAGGTTAAGTCCAGTTCCTCAGATCAAGACCCCCTTCACGAGCATCAAGACAACTTCCTTGAGAGGATACCTCTAAGTCAGGAGCAGTAAAGATATCATCAAGCATTCCACTATGTGTTCACGAGCTGTGGCAGTCTTGAAGGTTTTCTTTCAGCAGGGCTGACATTACTTGTACATAAGGATTTTTATTTGAAATTAAATCAACAGGAATGTCCAAAATCATTATATGCATTATTTGCACTAATGTATATATTTGTATCATCTGCAAGGAGACACCAATTGTCCCCCCTTGCAGATGTTAGATTTTTAGATGCAGATCTTAGATTTTTTTTTTTAAATCTCCCTTCAAGGTTCCTGTGTCACTTGAGAATGCCTCCTAAGAGTGGCTTTAGACATTCATGGCTGGTCTATTATAATAATAATACAGTAAGACCCCCATATCCACAGGGGAATACATTCCAAGGACCTACCATTGATTCTGAAATTGCAGATAATAGCAAACCCTGTATATAATTTCTGTACATACCTATTATAAAATTTAATTGATAAATTATGCGCATTAAGTGAAGAACTATCACTTCTTCACTGATGGAAAGCACTTCATTACTTTTTTTAGGCTTTGAAGAACTGCCAGTTTCTTTAATTTTGTGTTTTGGATCCATTATTATGCAAAATTGAGGTATTTTTGAGCCACAGAAAACCATGGATAACTGAAACTGTGGATACCGGATCAGTAGATACAGGGGTTCAACTGTAACAAGAATAATAATAAAAATAATAATAAGTTTATTTCTTTCCTGCAGTATACAGGTAATGTAGTTTACATGTAATAAAATATTATATGGTGCATTTCAGGCAGATTAATCCTAATGCTTAAAGACGGCTTAAGAACTAGACATGGGTTATTAAGTAGGAGTTTTTAAATGTACAAAAATGAGAGGTAGTTAAATAACAAGGTCCTGGATGCTCTAGAAGACAAACAGAATGCAGATGTAATATACACAGACTTTGCAAAAGCCTTTCACAAGTGTGACAATGGTGTAATGGCTCACAAAATGCGTGATAAAGGAATAACAGGACCTATAATTTCCTAAGAAATAGAACACAAAGAGTAGTAGTCAACAGAGTAAAGTCTGAGGTGGCTACAGTGAAAAACTCTATTCCACAAGGCACAGTACTCGCCCCTATCTTGTTCCTCATCCTCATATCGGACATAGACAGGGATATAAGCCACAGCGCTGTGTCTTCCTTTGCAGATGACACCCGAATTTGCATGACTGTGTCCTCCATTGAAGACACTACAAGACTCCAGGCGGACATCAACCAAATCTTTAAATGGGTTGCAGAAAACAATATGAAGTTCAATGACGAGGAATTTCATTACTCTGATGTGGAAAACATGAAGAGATTAAAACTTCATCGGAGTATAAAACAAATCCCAACCACACAATAGGGGATGATCATGTCAGAGGATCTCGCCTTCAAGGACCATAACATTGTATCAGTCGCATCTGCTAGAAAAATGACAGGATGGATAATGAGAACCTTCAAAACCAGGGATGCCATGCCCATGATGACACTCATCAGGTCGCTTGTTCTATCTAGGCTGGAGTATTGCTGCACACTAACAGGACCTTTCAAGGCAGGTGAAGTTGCTGACCTAGAAAATGTACAGAAAACCTTCATGGGACACACAACTGTGATAAACCACCTCACTTACTAGGAATGCTTGAAGTTCCTAAACCTGTACTCCCTAGAATGCAGGAGGGAGATACATGATTATATACACTTGGAAAATCCTAGAGGGACTAGTACCAAACTTGCACACGAAAATCACTCCCTATGAAAGCAGAAGACTCGGCAGATAGTGCAACATCCCGCACTGTAAAGCAGGGGTGCCACTAGCATGATAAGAGACAATGCAATAAGTGTCTGGGGCCCAAGACTGTTCAACTGCCTCCCAGCATACATCAGGGGGATTACCAATAGACCCCTGGCTGTCTTCAAGCAGGCACTGGACAGGCACCTAAAGTCAGTACCTGACCAGCCGGGCTGTGGTTCGTATGTTGTATTACGTGTGGCCAGCAGTAACAACCTGGTTGATCAGGCCCTGATCCACCATGAGGCCTGATCACAGAATGGGCTGTGGGGGCATTGACCCCCTGAACTCTCTCCAGGTATACTTTGAACTGATTCAGTGGTGATCGGTTAAGTAGGATTTTGTAAGCAATTTCAAACTGACTCAGAGTCTTCAATTTATGGAACAATCGAGAGATATGGTGAAGATACAGGAAGTTAGTTTCAGTAGAAGTACAGTACAGGGATAGATTTGGATGATCTGGTTATGTTTGGTATAGCATAGTGTTGGTTTAGTTATGAGATGAGGTGCTTTTTTAACAATAGCTCTGAATTGATTGGCAGACAGGGGACCTTTCAGTGATTCAGACAATGAATTGAAGATCTTAGGGCCTTTTATGCACATTGAGTTTTTGCATAAGGTGAGTTGGACACAAGGGATGTCAGGGAGTTTTGTGTCTTATGTTATGCCTGTGTTATTTGTTAGTTTTTAAAATTCTGCTTAATTTTCTGTTTGTTAACTTGAAAATGCCTCTCCTGAGTAGCTTCAAACTCTCCAAAGCAACAGCAGCAGCATTTACCTATGTAGAGCATGCACGTGATTTTTGCATGGGTGAGCATCTGGCATATTAGCAGTTGAGCGTGTACCAGTGGTGCTGTTTACCTCTCTTGGGTACCAATAAAACAGTGTTTATTTGAAGTATAATGCTCCACATTACTACTATTAATAGTAATAGTAATATGTGGATAAGTTAGAAAAGGTGTAAAAAAGAGTAACAGAATAGTTACCAGAATTAAAAAATATAGTACAGTGTAACCTCTGCTTACGAGTGCCCCACCATACAAGTTTTTCAGGATACGAGCAGTCACTCAGTCGATTTTTTGTTTCTGGACATGAGCAAAAATTCAGGATGCGAGCTTCCCCCTCAAACAACTTTTTTTTAGACCTCCAGATTTTATAAAAATAAAAGTGAATATATAATTGTAGTTCATTATCATGATGTATTATGTTGTTTTTACTGCTTAAGACTATAACTGCAATAGAAATAATAGTACTATTTCTTCCCTTAAATTGTGGTTGCTGGTGTTTGTGGATGATTGTGAAGAGAGTGGAGAGTTATGTTGTGGTCCTACTGGGCTGAGGTGGATGGTAGAGGTTCTGGTACTGAAGTTGATGGTTGTACTGCAGTGTGCATAAACTCTGTAATGGATTTCCATTCTATTTTACCCTGCTGTACATTATACAACTGACAATAAGGCATCAGTTGCTCTAGATACTGTTTCAGTGTCCTCTTCAGTGAAAAAGTCTAACTTTAAGTCATTCAGTAAGTCAGTAATTCAGCCAAGTCAGTAAGTCATTCAGTTAGTCAGTCAAGTCAGTAAGTCATTTGATATTAGCGTCATATTCAGGTATTTTGTCCTGGGTCCTGAGAACAGGTATTCGGCTGGAATGGATTAATGACATTTTAGTTAATTTAAATGAGGAAAATTGACTCAACATACAAGCAGATCGGGTTACAAGCAGGGTCACGGAACGCATTAACCCCTAAACAGTCCAAACATATACTATATACATTCTCTTGTCCAATGCTCTGAATATTTTGAAAAATAAAAAAAATCTTTTTTTTTTTTTTTTTCATTGAAATAAAAAATTTTTTCTAAGTGTTATAGGATTAAAATAAAAAAAATTGGGTCAGTACTTACTGAGATATGAGGCTGCAAAGTTGGCACTTAATGCTCACCTGATGGCAACATCGAGTCCTGCTGCTTGCAGAAGTGTTGCCGATATAACCATTTTTTCTCATTTTTATATTTTATGTAATTTTTATGTTCTGATAATTATAATTTATTGTAGTTCTTGTCATTTCATAACCAATCTTTGTTCTGACACTAATATTAGGTACTGAAATTGTACTCAAATTGTCACAAACACATTGACAGGTGGACATTTACACCTGCCTTGGTCATTTACTATTGTTTAGGAATATATACAAAGTATTTATAGGTCCCAGCAATGTTTTGGATACATGGGAGTATAGAAGAAGAAGAAGGGAGGAGGAAGAAGGAAGAAGGAAGAAGTTCCCTTGAAGCAATGTGTGTCAGTGACAAGCATCCGGAAGGGCAGTGATAAGATGAGATAAGCGATGGCATTTGATGCATGCCAGCAAGGGTGCAGAGATAAGATGAGATAGTGTAGAGATGAGATAAAGGATGACATTTGATGGGTGCCAACGAGGGTGCAGATGAGCTGGATTTTTTTAGGTTATCCTAGGTAATTTACACTATGTATAATTGTATTTGTGTGTACCTGTGAGACAGATAAAGAGAGAGAGAGACAGATAGAGACAGAGACAGATAGACATAGACAGAGATAGAGATACACAGGTAGACCCTAAATTTGGGGTTAACATCACTTTCCTCTTAAAAGGGGAGTGTTAATATGACATAACATCAGTGAATCCTTGGTGTTTGCCGCACTGTTTGCTCTAGCTGGCGTTCAGTTTAACTGGCGCTCCCACAAGGTACTAAGTGGTCCTAGATTTTTTTAAAGTGATGCACACCAAGTGTTAAGACCCATTCTGTGCTGACCAGCCATCTCAGGCCAATCATGCTAAATTTGGAGGCAGGAAAAATAAAACTTATATAAACGTTTGGGGCGCTAGCGGTAAGAACATATATATACGTTTGGACCGTTTAGGGGTTAAGCTCATAAGCCAAGGTTCTACTGTACATATAAGCTATGATGAAAGGCTGTAAGCACTAAAGATGCTCATAATGGCAAATAGAAAGAGAGGAGGCATGATAACGACAATACAAGGTTATAAAAAGACGTGAAACATTAGATAAAAAAAATTTCATACCAGTGACAGAAGTGACAAGAGGCCACACTTGTAAACTGAGAAAAAGGTGGAGCTGAAGGAACACTAGGAAATGTTTTCTTACAAACAGAGGAGTAGTTCAGTGGAATGAATTACAAGATGTAGTAAATGCTACAACCCTCAGAAATTTAAAATCAGTTAGTTGATGCACAAATTACTGAAGATGGGACACCATGAGCATAGCTGTGGTAATTACAAATAGGTAATTAGTCTTTATTTATTATGTAATTTATAGCAAAGCTCAAAAATATGTATTATACCATAGTAAATAATTTTTAGTTTTGCTTAAAGTTTATTAATTAAATGATCTTCAAACTATCTTGGTTCTGAATGTTTTTTTTTTTTTTTGCAGGAGCTTCAATTTTTTAATGAATCTCTACAACAGTTAAAAATTGCCCAATTGAAATTCAATGAATCTGGTGAATGTGTTGAAAAGGTACAGTATGTCCTTGTTTAATATTAAGTTTACTGCTATGGTTGTTTATAATACAGCAAAATGATCAAGAACTATTCTCCCTCTCTGCTCTCTTTGTTTTCCTTACTTCTTCCTCCTCTTCCTTCTTTACCCCTATTTCCTCTTTCCTCTTCCCCTTGTCATCTTCCCTCACTCATCTCGACTCCTTCATATGATCACCCTTCACACCCCTTTTTTCCTTCTCTTATCCTACTGCCTCATTTGAACTCCTCTCTTGTTTTCATTCCTCCCTCTTTGTATTACCCTCTTCCCTTCTCTTCTCATCCTTGCCCTTCTCCACTTTTCTAACTTTCCCTGTTTTATCCTATCTCTACAATCCCTTTTCTCCTGATTCCTTCTCATCTTTTCTTTTCTCTTCTCTTCCCTTTTTATCCCCCCGCTTAACTCCTCAATGCTCCTTCTTTCCCTTTTAACTCTATGCCTCTCCTATTCCTCTCTTCCTTACCCCTTCCTCCCTTTTTTATTTCTTTCATCTTTCATTGGAGATACCTTGATGCTTGTGAAGAGTTCTTGATTCACTAAGTTGGAACTCCTTTTCCCTTCCTCGCATCATTCTGGTTACATCCTGAGGTGCTATATGTCATCTATGGGTTTAGTGCTTCTCTGTAATAATAAAAATATAACAAATGATGGCATTGGCAGTTGTTGTTGGACATGCTGGTGGAGTGTGAGGAACTATTTATGAAAAGTTGGACTTGAGTCGTGGAGGTAGGGAGTACAGTGCCAGCACTCAAGGAGGGGTGTGGATGTTGCAGCTCAGAGAGCTATTTGAATTTTTATTTTTTTTTATTAACACATTGGCTGATTCCCACCAAGGCAGGATGGCCCGAAAAAGATAAACTTTCATCATCATTCACTCCAACACTGTCTTGCCAGAGGGGTGCTTTGCACTACAGTTATAAAACTGCAACATTAACACCTCTCCTTCAGAATGTAGACACTGTACTTCCCATCTCCAGGACTCAAGTCTGGCCTGCCAGTTTCCCTGAATCCCTTCATAAATGTTACTTTGCTCACACTCCAACAGCACGTCAAGTATTAAAAACCATTTGTCTCCATTCACTCCTATCAAATACGCTCACGCACGCTTGCTGGAAGTCCAAGCTCCTCGCACATTAAACCTCTTTTACCCTGTCCCTCCAACCCTTCCTAGGCCGACCCCTAACCTGCCTTCCCTCCACTACAGATTTATACAGTCGAAGTCATTCTGTTTTATTCCATTCTCTCTACATATCCGAACCACCTCAACAACCCCTCCTCAGCCCTCTGGATAATAGTTTTGACAATCCCACACATCCTAACTTTCAAACTACGAATTCTCTGCATTATATTTACACCACACATTGCCCTCAGACATGACATCTCCACTGCCTCCAGCCTTCTCCTCATTGCAACATTCATCACCCATGCTTCACACCCATACAAGAGTGTTGGTACAACTATACTCTCATACATTCCCCTCTTTGCTTCCACAGACGAAGTTGTTTGTCTCCACAGACTCCTAAGTGCATCACTCACCCTTTTCCCCTCAAGTCTATGATTCGCCTCATCCTTCATAGACCCATCTGCTGACACGTCCACTCCTAAATATCTGAATGCATTCACCTCCTCCATACTCTCTCCCTCCAATCTGATATCCAATCTTTCATCACCTAATCTTTTTGTTATCCTCATAACCTTACTCTTTCGTATATTCATTTTTAATTTTCTTCTTTTACATACCCTACCAAATTCATCCACCAATCTCTGCAAATTCTTTTCAGAATATCCCAAAAGCACAGTGTCATCAGCAAAGAGCAAATGTGGCAACTCCCACTTTGTGTTTGATTCTTTATCTTTTAACTCCACACCTCTTGCCAAGACCCTCGCATTCACTTCTCTTACAACCCCATCTATAAATATATTGATCAACCACGGTGACATCACACATCCTTGTCTAAGGCCTACTTTTACTGGGAAATAATCTCCCTCTTTCCTACATACTCTAACCTAAGCCTCACTATCCTCTTAAAAACTCTTCACTTCTTTCAGTAACCCCCCACCTATACCATACACCTGCAACATTGCTCCCCTATCCACCCTGTCATATGCATTTTCCAAATCCATATATGCCACAGAAACCTTGTCTAATTGCTGTGGCAAGAGTGATCATGAATGTGGTTTTCTTTTTTGAGGTCATTGCTTCCTTGGTGGAAGATGGCTGATGTGTTCAAAAAGAAATTACTGGTAGGTATTAGCTATGACGTATTTCTGTCTCTTCATCTCCCTCTCATCATCCTCACCTCCCTCCTCTCCCTTTTCTCTGGAGTGAAATGTACTATACTTCAATTTTATCTAATTGTTTGTTTTAATATTTTGCTAGACACCATATTACCATATAGTCATGCACAAAATCCATTTGAGTGCTATGTGCTCTATCTTTTCTCTTTGTGTTTATATGTTTTCCTTTTTGACAGGTAACACCAGAAACTAAAGGAAAGGAGATGCTGGTACCTCTCACTAGCTGCATGTATGTTCCTGGCACAATAGCTGATGCTGAGAGTTTGCTCATTGATGTTGGTACAGGCTATTACTTGGAACGTGTAAGTATTTACAGTGTTACCTTAGTATTTTTAGAAATTCAATTCAATTCAATTCAAGTTTATTCTCTATAAGGGTTACAATGTGGGGTTTACAGGTTTTGGGTATTGTGTGGTTTACATGTTATAAAATACTAATTACAGAGGGGGCCACTAGGACACCTAGCATGGCTAGGCATTTCGAGCAGACTTAGATTAAATCTTAACATTAAATCCTTACAGATTATGGTATTAAGGCTAAGTGACTACATCATAATTTGTGAGTTTAGCAATGTGAATGCTTTTGTTTTGCCACAATACAAGGTGTCTATATTGGAGTATCATAGGCAAACTTATGACTAGTTAGGATTTATTATTTTAAGATTAGTATTTCTGGGTTTATAGTCAGTGGGTGAGTGAGTGTAATTGTGAACCACTAGGTGGTTTATCATGTAGTTAGTTGTCGGGGTGGATCAGGGAGATAAGATGTTTTCTAACTGTAGTTTTGAAAGTGATGAATGTGTCTGCAGTTCTAGAGTTTTCAGGTAGGGTGTTCCAGATTTTAGGTCCTTTGAAATATACATTGAATTTTTGTAAAGGTTTAGTCGAACATGGGGAATGTCATAGAGATGTTTGTGTCTGGTGTTATGCCTGTGGATCCTGTCACAACTATCAAGAAAACATTTTAGGTCAAGGTTAATATTGGAATTTAAGGTCCTGTAGATATAGATTGCACAGTAGTAAGTGTGGATGTTCTGAACAGGGAGTAAGTTTAGATCTATGAAGAGTGGGAGGGTGTGTTGCCAGGGATGGGATTTAGTGATTATTCTTACTGCAGCTTTTTGTTGGGTTATTATTGGCTTAAGGCGTGTTGCTGCAGTTGAACCCCAAGCACAGATAGCATAGGTGAGGTATGGATATATAAGTGAATGGTATAGTGTGAGAAGGGCAGTTTGCGGTACGTAGTATCGTATCTTGGAGAGGATCCCCACTATTTGTACAGTGGACCCCCGACTAACAATATTAACCCTTAAACGGTCCAAACGTATGTATACGTTCACTCGCGTAGCGCCCCAAATTTTTTGAGAGAAAAAAAATCTTTTCTTTTAAAAGGAAAAAAAGAGCATATGGTACCCAGGCATCCCCAATTATTTTAATATGGCACACAGTGAGTGCGCACACCCATTCTCTCATGTCTAGGTGACTCAGGCTTATTGTGGCAATGTTGAATGAATGACAAAGAAAACGTATATATACATTTGAGGTGCTACGCGCGTGAATGTATATATACGTTTGGACCGTTTAAGGGTTAATCCATTCCTCCACCACCGTAAGACGAAATGATTGTAGGTTGAATTAATTTTCCCTATAAGAAATAATGGAAATCAAATTAATCCATGCAAGACACCCTAGTGGCATTAAAAAACAAAAAAGGGAGGTGACCCCAGAAAGTCACTTGCTACCTAAAGTCCTTATGGAAGGGGATTCCCCTTCCAAACAATAATAAACCTCCATCCTCTCCCCTCCTCCCATCTCATCACTCATCAATAAGTCCTCAATAAAGGTAAGTGTCATTTCAGTATTGTTTATTGTGCATGTCTCATTGTTTTCTGTGTAGGGAAATTTATATTTCATGAAAAAAAAATTATTTTGTCTAATACTTTTGGGTGTCTGAAACGGATTAATTGGATTTCCACTATTTCTTATGGTGAAAATTAATTTGGATAACGATAAAATCGGTTAAGGACACGCTCTCTGGAACAGATTAATATTGTTAACTGATAGTCCACTGTATGGTGGTGGCAGCGGCAGCGACTGCCACCACTAGTCATACTACTAGTCACACTGAAACACCACTAGTCACACTGAAACAACGTACATAATTTATAAATAAGAAATACAGTGGTCCCTCAATAATCGTCTGGCTCAATAGTTGTCTTTTTCGGAAATCGTCATGTTATTCTCGTCCAAACATTGGCTCGCAAATGGTCGGTTTACTCGCTAATCGTCCTTTGTCCGGGACACATACTCACGCTCTGAGCTGCCTTGGCCTCTCTTCCCAGCCAGTGTGCCATTGTTTACCAGTGAGCGACGGTCTCCTCACTTGTTCATACGAAATATTTCATAATAGTATTCAATTCGTTTTAGTGCTTGCAACTGCTAAATAAGTCACCATGGCTCCAAAGAAAGCTTCTAGTGCCACCCCTTTGGTAAAGAATGTGAGAAACACATATAATTTATGAAAAAGTTTGTAGAAAAATACAAAGGTGGTGGTGGTAGAGTGGAAGCAGTTGTGATAGTGGTTGATGGTGGTAGTGGGTGGTAGTGATGGTGGTAACAGTTGTAATAGTGGTAGAAGGTGGTAGTGATGGTGGTAGCAATTATAATAGTGGTAGAAAGTGGTAGCAGTTATAATAGTGGTAGAAGGTGGTAGTGATGGTGGTAGAGGGTGCCTTCTTCAGTGATTCAGCGATTCTACCAACTCCTCCAATGTTGTTGGAGTTATATAGGGCTACAGAAAACACCATTGCCTCAGCTGCTGCTTCACCACCATTATTGACGGCTTACTCTCAGTGGCCCTTATACACCCAACAACAACACACCACAACACCTCTCATGACATACGTAATGACTTATTTTATTCATTCTAGAGTATATTCCATGTTTCTATATTATTAATATTGTTTATTATGTCATATTAGTTGAATTGTGATAGATAAATATGCTGTAGAGTTGATATTAGTGTCATATTCTCCAACAATAAACTTGCCATCCCTCCCTCACACAAACAAGTCTTCAATAAGAACATAAAAAGGGAGGAACACTGCAGCAGGCCTGCTGGCCTGTAATAGGCCGGTCCTTCACAGATCCAACCCACAACAGAACAAATGCTACCCAAGCAATAAGCTCAGGTCCAAGTCCGACTCAAATCCAACCCCTCTCACTCATGTATTTATCCAACCTAAATTTGAAACTACCCAATGTTTTAGCTTCGATCACCCTACTAGGCAGACCGTTCCACTCATCAACTACCTCTATTACCATTGTTCATTTATACATTTTATTAGTGCTTTACATTTATTTGGCATTTTTTTCCGCATGTAAATCTATATTTATGCTAGGTAAGTGACCTAGAGTCCTATGGAGGGGGATTCCCCTTCCAAACAATAACCTCTCTTTCCTCTCACCTCCTCCCTGTCTTCTATTCATCAACAACAGCCTTCAATAAAGGTAACTGTCATGTTGAATGTTCATTCTTTTGTGCATGTAAATTTATCTTTTAGGTAAAAAAAAAATTGTTGTTGATACTTCTGGGTGTCTGGAACGAATTAATTGGATTTACATTATTTCTTATGGGGAAAATGGATTCGAAAATCGTCCATTTCGATAATCGTCACACTTCCAGGAACGGATTACTGACGAAAAATGAGGGACCACTTTATTGTATAAAAACATAATAGAGATGTAAAGAACAGTGGTTATTGTAGAGAATGTAAAGAAATAAAATGGTTATTGTGGAGAATGTAATGAAATAAAGTGGTTTAGGGTGGTGGAAGATACACAGGGTGGCATATGTTGTTTGTGGCCCTACATGCCTCCAGCAACATTGGAAGAGTTTTGTGTCATCCTTTTTCTATTGCTTAATCGCTTAACTTACTTGCTACACTGTTAATGCTACACTTTATCGCTGGCTGGCGCTATAGCCTTTATCGACTCCTGCTGCTTTAGTATCATACATATCGTAGAATCACTGAATCACTGAAGAAGGCACATTTTCCCCTCTCTCTCAGCCTTTTACCAAAGGGCTGGCACTAAGAACTTTCTTTGGCCCCATGGTGGCTTATTTTACAGTTGCAATCAAAAAAACACCAGAAGCAATGGATGAAACCGCGAAATATTCCTTATTCATCAAGGGAGATGCGCAGACTGAGTGTGATATGCATGAAGAGCATCACTGGTCCGAGGTGACGCGTCTCATACAGCCTGTTTCCAAGAGCATGGCCAATATCTGCAGCAAAATTTCGCCAATAGAGGTGTTTGATTTCCAAATTGGTCGATTTCCGTGATGGACTATAACCAGGGTTCTACCGTACTATTTTTATTCTATTTTTCCAGAATGTAAATGGTGCTAAGGACTACTTCAACCGAAAAATTAAATTTGTGACTGAACAAATGGAGAAAATCCAGAAAATAGCATCTGAGAAGAGCAAGTTAAGAGAAGGTATGTAATTATGGCTTTTAGCAATAGAGATATGTGTAGTGATATTTTGTGAATAAGTCATTGTGGTACTGTATGTTCAGAAATTTTGTTATAAAATCTGTGAAAAAACAGCTATGGGTACTATGAATATAAAATTTTTATTCTTTTATCAACATTCATAATTATGAAAAGTTGATATTTGTTATGACAAAAAATATAATGAAGAGTGAGAGGGCAAGAAAGATACCAGGTATTGTGAAAAATTGATCTTTTCCTAATTTCTCCCGAACCCACTTCCCTGAGAGAGACTAGGTCAGCAGCAATAAAAAGTGCCAGGTTATAACAACTGTGTAGTTCAACAAGAATTCTTTATCCACAATTCCAAAATCCTCCAAACTCCAAAGCTTTTAGTGTTATGGTACACTACAAATGGATCATTAAGTTTGTTGTCAGCAGCAGTTACTCACTGATTACCATGTGTTTTATGCTCTGTGGTGTGAAGATAGTGTTGAAAAATCTCAAGAAGTCCTATTGGTAATAATGAAAAGAAAAAGAGGAAGCATTTATGTGTATATATATCACAAAGTCAAGTTGTTGGAAAAACATGATGGTGGTGCAAGTGTGAAGCATCTGATCAGTGGTGTGCAGAGGTCTGGTGGTGCCCGGGGACAGCTCCTTGATTGTTTGCCCCAAAGACTCGAGTATAAGGCTTAGTACTGAGAAATATTATGAGAAGGGGAGATATTTTGAATATGTAAACACAGATGAAACATGAAATAAACACTTAGTTGATTTATATAAAATCAAATAAAATGTTTATTAAGTTCTTTTCCCAAATGATCCCTCCTTTCAGGTAACACTTGAACTACTACACTTTTTGCATCAGCTGTGAGAAATTCTTTTTAATACTTATTAAAGCCAGGTTGGTCAGTCGCTCCAGTGACATTCAAGACCTCAGTTATGTTTTTTATTAACCTTTAAACGTCCAAATGTATATATATATACTTTCACTCGCGCAGCGCCCCGAATATTTTGAAAAAAAAAAAAAGTTTTTTTTTATATAGAAAAAAGAGCACATTTTTTAAGTGTTTTAGAATAAAAAAAATTAGGGTCAGTACTTAGAGATATGAGGCTGAGAAGTTGGCACTGGATGCTCATGTGATGGCAACATCGAGTCCCTCAGCTTGCAGAAGTGTTGCCTATATACCTTTTTTCTATTTTTCATATTATTTTATATAATTTTTATGTTCTGATAATTACAATTTATAGTAGTTCTTGTCATTTCATAACTAATCTTTGTTCTGACACTAGTATTAGGTACTGAAATTGCACTCAAATTGTTACAAACACATTGACAGGTGGACATTTACACCTGCCTTTGCCATTTACTATTGTCTTGGAATATATACAAAGTATTTATATGTCCCAGCAATGTTTTGGATATGTGGAAGTATATAATAACAATGAGGAGGAGGAGGAGGAGGAGGAGGAAGAGGAGGAGGAGGAAGAGGAGGAGGAGGAAGAGGAGGAGGAGGAGGTGGTGGAGGCGGTGGCAGTGGTGAAGGAGAAGGAAGAGGGGAAGAAGGAGGAGGAGGAGAAAAAGAAGGAAAAGAAGAAGAAGAAAATAATAAAAATTATAATAATAATAATAATAGCAGTTTGGAGGGATATGTTGTGTATCCTTATACATATATGCTTCTAAACTGTTGTGTTCTGAGCACCTCTGCAAAAACAGTCCTCTTCAAGGGGGGCTCCTTGGCGTGGTGAAGAGGCTCTTGGTCTGAGGAATTAGCCCTGTCGGTCTTCTTCCTCAGACCGAACCTAATTACCCCCATTCTCCCCTCCCCTATCCCATCCTCCCCTTTTTCCATTCCTCCTCCTCCTCCCCACCCCTCCCTTTTGCCCTTCCTCTTTTTGGCCTTTGGGATTTCTCCCACAGGCGCGCTAGTTCCTAGGTAGGGAAAGGACACCGGGGTCCACCCCATTCCATTGAGGTTCTTGGCGGTGGCGTAGTTTGCCGTGGAATCTGGATTGCCTGGGGATGTCCCGATCCCTCTCCAGTATCCCGGAGTAGTTTTTGGGTGTCTTTTGGGCGACGGTTGTATCTCTGGAAGCCCCCTTTCGGATTCCGGGGGTGGGGGGGGCCGAAGGAGGTATCCCTTTGTGGCGGATATCCGGCCGCCCTCTTTTTTGTCCACTGAGGTAGCTGGGGCAGATGTGAGGTTGCTATCCCGGATTGCTGGTTTACTGGCATGAAGGGTAGGGTAGGGCACGGGTTCCATGCTTCATCTGCGCTACTAGCGGTGCTGGGGTTTCCTCTTGGGCGCGGAGGGAGATTTCTGGCCCTTTCATTCCTCCTGGGAACTATTCCTCCCTGCTACCCCCTTTTTTTATTCTTTTTTTTTATTTTTAATTTTCTTTTTTTTTTCTTTTTTTTCTTAAAAACAAAAAGCAAAGGAGTAACCTAAACATGGAGAACCCAATCCATGAACCCACTACCACCCCGGCCCCTTCTTGATACCGCACCCCATTCTGACCCTGCCTTGTGTTTAGACCACTCTTCGGACACTCCTGATGCCCCTGTACCTCTTGCTGGTGCTTTTTTCCTCACCTGCTTCGGGTACCGGGGCTTCGACTAAACTCCTTCGATTTGTCTGAACTCCGCTCCCCTTTTGACTATGCTTCCGGCTTCTTCCCCCTCTACGGTACGGAAATTTTTTTCGAATCGCCCGCCCTTTTCACCCCGACCAACTCCGGTCCTACTCCTAAACGCCAACGTCAATCTCCTGATGAGGGCTCCTTCGTTACCTTCCCATTCTACTCGGAAAAGACCGACACGTCAAGCACTCCCTCTCCACGCTCAGTTTCGACCACACAATGGACTAAATTCTTTACTTTAAGACCGACTTCTTCTTCTGCCTACCTTTCTGACCATAGTATTGGCAAAGTGCTCCTGCGTCATGTTGGTAGGATATTTCATTTCATGCTCTCAAGAGCGGTACGCACATCGTCACTGCCCAAAGAATGCTACCCAAGCTCATGATCTTTCTCTCCTTTCGAAAAACGATACTACTCCTATCACTATTGAAAAACATCTTTCTCTCAATTCTTGTAGTGGTACTGTCATTCTGCCCCATACCATAGTCCAACAGAATTTCCAGTCATGTGGAAAATGACATTCTTGAACAGCTGGAACTCCAGATCTCCCAATCCTCAAGTAGACACTTATGTCCTTCCTGCCTGGGGGCGGAGACGATACCCTTGCAATGTGGCTCGTTTAACTTTTGACAGCCAAGAACTCCCGTCCTCTGTATATGTCGGGGGACATCGGTTACAAGTTCAAAAGGGATACCTAAACCACAACAATGTAGAAATTGCTGGCGTTTTGGTCACCCGGCGAAATATTGCAGATCTATGGCCGAATGCCCAGTCTGTGGTGCCGACGACCATTCTAATACATCTTGCAGTCAACCTCCATCTTGCCTTAATTGTAATGAAACTCACCCTTCGTACTCCCGCCGTTGCCAGTTCAAACTTAAATGAACGTGAAATACGTTTCCTAAAAGGGGCAGAAGGTCTCCCTTATGCTATGGCAGTTACTCATCTCCGCCTCCAAGGGAGACTACCTCGTGTTTCTTATTCTCGTGTTTCCAAACATCCCCCCACTTCTGGGGTTCCATCTTCTACAGCCTCCTCTGTTGTTACCCCTCCCATAGCCACTCCGGCATCTAATCCTTTTGCTGTCCTTGGCTCTGACGTCCCGACTACAACTCAGTCTGTTCTCACATCTTCGCGTCCTTCCTCACAAGCCCCAGTATCGACAAGACCTCGTACGACACCTAATACCAATCGCCCCTCTACTTCTCAGAAGTCCAAAAAATCCACATTGCTCAAATCTTCTTTGCCCCTTCCTTCCCTTCTTCCACCTCCACACTTTACCTTTCCAGTCTCTGTACCTAGTTCTTCCCCTCTCTCTGGCTCTATTACAAGTGTGGAGATTCACCCTCCTCCTCGTACTATGCCTTCCACCCCCGTCCCCTCCCAAGTTTCTCCCTCTTCTGCCACCTCCCAGGTTTCTGCCTTTTCTGTCCCCCCCCACACTTCATCTCCAGTCCCTTACACTCTTCCCTCCCCCTCTATTTTTGGTACAGTCCATACTGTCCCAATCTTTACTCACCCTCCTCCTTCTATCTCCAATATGGTCTCCCATACATCTTTGAATTCAGAAACACTTGAAGCCATTTCAGAATATATTGCAGAGACTAAACCTTCAATGGACACTGATTCACTTTCCTGTTCATTCTCTTCCCTCTCCTCCATTTTCCCACAACCCCATTCTTCGCAATGCTCCGTTCCTTCACTGCTTAAAACGTCTTCCCAATGCCACCACACATTGACTTTTCCTAACCCCTCTAGTCCGTAGGTGCCTTTACCTACAGATTCCTGGTATTTTCTTCATCACCAATCAGGCCTATTTACAGTGGATATCCGCGGCTCAGGGGTAATCGGGTGAGCTTTTAGATGTTGCTGTCCAGGGTTTTTCCCCTGTTGGTGCTTGCTTACAAGAACCAAAAATTTCACTTGGCTGTTTTTCCAACCTATCTCAGGCTATAATTTATTGTATTCTTTGGATCCTTCTCAGATTGGGACCTTTAATGAAAGTGCCCCTTTTTCTACGCAATGATATTCCGTACTGTCAACTATTTGTCCATACCTCGCTGCATTACACTGCAGCCCGTATCCACTTGAATAAATGGTTTACAATATGTTCTTTATATCTCTCTCCTTCTCGAGCATTTTCATCCCAGACTTTGCCTTTCTTGTTTTTATCCTTCAATCCACCACTTCTGTTACTTGGTGATTTTAATGCCCACCATTTCCTCTGGGGGGGGGTCTCTCATTGTGACTCACGTGGCCCTCCAGTTGGAGGCTTTTCTCGCCTCTCACCCCCCCCATGTTTTTAAAAACGGGTATCCCACCCATTTTGATCCTCGTACTCATACTCTCTCTTGCATCGACTA